AGTCTTCAATATGTGCTTTCTCTGTTTTCTTAAAGTGGGCACTTAGTGCGATGAACTTTCCTCTTTGCACTGCTTTCATAGTGTCCCATAAGTTCGAGTATGTTGTTTCTTTATTTTCATTGAATTCAAGGAAGACTTTAATTTCTTTCTTTATTTCTTCCTTAATCCAGGTATGGTTCAGTAGTTGACTGTTCAGTTTCCATGAGTTTGTAGGCTTTCTGGAGGTAGCATTGTTGTTGAATTCTAACTTTAATCCATGGTGATCTGATAAGACGCAGGTGGTTACTAATATTTTTTTGTAACTGTGTAAGTTAGCTTAGCTACCAAGTATGTGGTCAATTTTTGAGAAGGTTCCATGAGCTGCAGAGAAGAAGGTATATTCTTTCCTATTTGGGTGGAATGTTCTATAGATGTCTGTTAATTCCATTTGATTCATTAGCTCCATTAATTCTCTTATTTCTCTGTTAGGTTTCTGTCTGATAGACCTGTCCATTGGTGAGAGAGGAGTGTTGAAGTCTCCTACTATTAGTGTGTGCGGTTTGATGGCTGCCTTGAGTTTTAGTAATGTTTCTTTTATGTTGGTGCTTTTATATTAGGGGCATAGATATTCAGGATTGAGACTTCATCCTGATGAATTGTTCCTGTTATGAGCATAAAATGTCCCTCTCTATCTTTTCTGATTGATTTAAGTTTGAAATCAACTTTGTTAGAAATTAGTAAAAACACACCTGCTTGTTTCTTGGGTCCATTTGCTTGATAAGCCTTTTCCCAGCCCTTTACTCTGAGTAGGTGCCTGTCTTTGTGGTTAAGGTGTGTTTCTTGTAAACAGCAGAATGTTGGATCCTGTTTTCGTATCCAATCATTTAGCCTGTGCCTTTTTATAGGTGAGTTGAGTCCATTGACATTAATGACCAGTGGTTGTTAACTCTAGTCACTTTTTTAGTCGTTGGGTTTGTGTGTTTCCCTTCTTTGAGTTGCACTGGTGAAAGGTCTCTAGATGACTGAGTTATTGTGGGCATTGTTGGACTCCTTGGTTAGTGATTTTCCTTCTATTACTTTCTGTAAGGCTGGATTTGTGGCTGCGTATTGTTTAAATTTGTCAGGTGTAAGTCTGATAGGTTTACCTTTATAAGTAACTTGGCCTTTTTCCTTTGCGGCTCTTAATATTCTTTCTTTATTCTGTATATTTTGTGTTTTGATTATTATATGGCGAGGGGATGTTTTTTTTTTTTTTTGATCCAGCCTATTTGGTGTTCTGTATGCTTCTTGAACCTTCATAGGTACCTCTTTCTTCAGGTTGGGAAAGTTTTCTTCTATAATTTTATTAAGTATATTTTCTGTACCGTTGAGCTGCACTTCTTCTCCTTCTTCTACTCCAATTATTCTTAGGTTTGGTCTTTTTATTGTGTCCCAAATTTCCTGAATGTTTTGTGATGAGAATTTGTTGGTTTTGCTGTTTTTTTTGATCAGTGTGTTTATTTTTTCTATGGTATCTTCAGTGTCTGATATTCTCTCTTCTATCTCTTGTAATCTGTTGTTAGTACTTGTTTCTGTCATTCCTGTTCGTTTACCCAGATTTTCCATCTCCATTCTTCCCTCGGTTTGTGCTTTCTTCATTGCTTCCATTTCATTCTTCATGTCTTGAACCGCTTCCCTAACCTGCTTGATTGCTTTTTCTTGTTTCTCTTGGTTTTCTTGTGTGTCTTTGAGCGATTTATTCATTTCCTCTACCTTTTTGTTTGTAATCTCTAATTGTTTATGGCAGTTTTTCACCTCCTGTTTAAGGTCCTCTATTATTTTCATTTAGTTCACTTTTGAGTCGATTTCTTCTATTTCTTCAGGAGTAGGGTGTAAAATTCTTCTTATTTCTGGATCCCTGGGTTCTGGTGGTGTCATGTTGCCTTTCAGGTTGTTGGAGGAATTCTTGCATTGGCGTCTTCCCATCTCTTCCTTCAAATGGAGCCAGGAGAGGCCTGGTGTCTTGGTCCAGTCTTTGCTGTGATTGACTCTCTGGGTATATCTCTTCAGTGTAGAAGCAGGAACCATTCCCGTCCCGATGGGATTCCTCAGCAACTAAACAGGGCCGCCAGTAGCCCAATGATTCAGGGCCAACAGGATGAATGGAGCCAGGGGTGGGGGGTGGTATCCAGGAGCGCGCAGGAAGCCTGGCGCCAGAGCTGAAGGTGCCCAGGCTCCCTTACAGGGGACCCTGAGGCCTGTCCGGTAGGCAGGCTCTCACCGCTCTGGGTGGGTAGCCTTAGTTTAGGAGCTTAAAACTGTACTTGAACACTGGTCCTATCATACAGCAGGGCAGGGATTGGGAGTGGTGCTGGGGGGTTGGGTCGTGCAAAAGAAAGACAGCCCTGCAGAAGGAGCTGGGGGAGGGGGGTTTGTGCTCTCTTCTGGGACTGTCCGCCCATGGATAGCACAGACTCACCCGTCCTGATGGGATGTAATTCTAATCTTATACTTGATATTGTTCCTAGTGTATATTGTTTTGTATTGGTTTGGAGCTCTCTTACTTAACAAAATGGGAAGGTGCTGTAGGAGCTCCTTCCACTTCTTAAGCCAATGGCCTTTAAGTTACCAGCCCACTGGGGTATGGTCTCTATACTTTAAAAAGCAGCAGGAACTGGGATTGTTTTGCAACTTCATATATATATGAAGAGAGAGAGAGTTATATATAGAAAGAGTTATAGAGAGAGAGTTTTATTTATATGGTGATATATATAAAATAATTCATTAAAAATAATATATTAATTATTAAAACTTGTTGCAAACACATATTGCAATGCTAATGAAAAAATGTAAATCTTGGTAACCAGAGAAAACATCATTTGGAATGATGCAAAGGATCTGGAGAACATGGCTAAATATAATCATTAGTTTTCTAGCTATATTAAAACTAATTAATGCAGTGGACAAGTTTCTTTTAGAGAGAAATTTGAAAACTTTCAAATAATGAGATTCTCTATATTTTTATGTTTTTCAATTTTTTTAGGACATAATTTTCTGGGTGTTTCTGCAAAGAGCAGGGCTGGCAGAATAACAGTCCACATGAGGCAAGAAGGAAATCCTAAACAACAGGATTCAGGAGCTTGGGTTGGTTCAAACTTCTGGAATTTGACTCTGAGTTGTCTCAAGAGTCAAGATCCAGTGATCACAGCATTCAGGGTATTTTTCAACACATTGGGTTCTAGAGTTATGTTCCAACATCCGACAAAAATAATCATGTCTTACAAATTGAATGCAAATATTTGTTGAAGGAGGCAGAAAATCACATCCAAGATTATGTCATGGAACATAATGTACTTGGACTAAAAGGTCCTCTCCATTTTTCTTCTTAGAGATTTTCTCACAGTTCCCCAAGGCATTCATGGGTATGTATCATTTTAAATGTATTTTGACACTTTGGATATTGAGTATGTCCAGTGTTGCTTCTGGGATTTTAGTATGACCTGGTCACAGATAGCACAAGGACAATACATGTGGCCAATTATCCACTGCCAGCCCCAGCTGTCAGAGTAGAAAACAGAGTATGCATATTTTCATTGAATTAACAACCCAGTGCTACCTTTGAGCAGTGAGCCTTTGTACTCATTTCAAATTACATTTTGTATCTTCAGTTTCCTTCCTCCAACTCTCCTATAAACCACACATTCCTGTTCTCCTTCAAGTTTTGTCCTTTTTCATGCATTGTTATTTTATACATAAATTTGTGTGTATATATATATATATATATATATATATATATATATATATATATTCCTAAATACAAGGGAAGAAATCATACCATGTTACAATTCTATGTTTTCAAGGCTGTCCATTGGTTACGGGACAATCACTTTTTGTGCTCTTCTCTAGGGAAGGCCTCTTTTCCCACTCCCTGCTTTTCTAAATAACTATAGAGTTCTTTGATTTTGTTATCTTACAGCTTTCCTTTCCAGTTTAGCATGCCCATTGGTATCATCCAACAACCTCATATTGACTTAAACCACAATTATACAAAGTTTAAAATAATGTATGTAGATTGTCATTTGCTGTCGTACCAGATCCAAAACATTAACGGGGAGACTTCTTACTTGAATGCTTGGCCTTAACGTAGGATTATTTCCAATTAGGTCCAATAACTTAAATTAACCCCCATTTTTGTCTACATTTTGCCACAAATTGCACAAGCTGCTTCCTTCTTGTTTTCTGGCAACTCACCTGCATGCCTCAATTCCTACTCCTCCTTACTCTCTCTGCAAGGAATTTCTGCCCCTACCTTGTGCCTAGACATTGTCCAATCATCAGCCTATTTCATCAATCAAAGTAACTTAGTTTTAGACAGTGTAAACATAGTCCACGACAAGTCTACTTCTATTTTATGCCATGTTTTCATTGTTGCTGTGATCCATGAAATAGCTCACATTTATAATACCCTGCCATTAGAAAACAGACTATCAGAACAAAAAATAGAATAAAAAATTGTGAAGATATTTAACGTTTTTATTGCAAAGACACAGAATGAAAAGACTTGAAGTTTAAAGCAAACTGGTATTTATATAAAATCACCAAAAATCACAGGAATACAATCTTTATATAGAATATAATCTCATTACATAAGCAACCATATGACAAGAAATTGAATATGCATCAAAATCTGAAATAGTTTCACATCGGCTGGCTCTTTAACATGTTACCTCAACATATAGTCAAGAAATGTTGTTGTTTAATTTTCTTCTACTAGAAATATTGACTCAATCATCATAATGATGTTTGAATAGTATATTCTTATAACGATGCAAAAATTCAGTTTAAAACAAATGTTAGAGGAAAATAAAGTTCAAATCTGGACACAATGTTTCTAAATTTGTAAGAACTGTACATCTGTATAAGTATTGACAAAAAGTTGAAAATTATTTAAAGAATTTGCATCTGTGTAATATCTTGGTCAATGTATGAAGACTGGACAATGAACTAGTGTGAGGTATATCAATAAACTTTATGAAATGTATCTATACATGAATTTTGTGATGCTTTCTTAGAATTGAGTTTCTTATAAAGCACTTGCCACATTCTTTACATCTGTAAGGTTTTTCACCAGTATGGACTCTGTGGTGAATGTTAAGATCTGAGCCCTGTGTAAATGACTTGCCACATTCTTGACATCTGTAAGGTTTCTCACCAGTATGAATTCTGTAATGTCTCCGAAGATTAGAATACTGGATAAATGACTTGCCACATTCTTGACATCTGTAAGGTTTCTCACCAGTATGGATTCTACGATGTCTGTGAAGATTTGAGTTGTGGCTAAATGACTTGCCACATTCTTGACATCTGTAAGGTTTCTCACCAGTATGGATTCTGTAATGTGCCTGAAGAGTTGAATCCTGGGTAAAGGACTTGCCACATTCCTGGCACCTGTAAGGTTTCTCACCAGTATGAATTCTGTAATGCGCCTGAAGAGTTGAATCCTGGGTAAAGGACTTGCCACATTCCTGGCACCTGTAAGATTTCTCACCAGTATGGATTCTGTTATGCCTATGAAGATTTGAATCCTGGGTAAAAGATTTGCCACATTCTTGACATCTGTAAGGTTTCTCACCAGTATGGATTCTCTGGTGAGCTTGAAGTTTTGAATGATGGGTAAAAGACTTGCCACAATCTTTACATTTGTATGCCTCCTCTCTGAGATTAATTCTTTTAAGCCTAGTGAGGCATGGAGATCGGTTGGAGCCCTTCTCATATTCCATGTAGTAGTTTTGTCCAATTTGATTACTTACAAAATGTTTCTCTTGTGTCTGGTCATTCTGCAACAAAAAAAAGGTGTGTGTTATAATAAAAAATCTTACAATTTCAATATATGTATTGGCTCTTAGGAAAAACAAAATTTGTTCTATGTAATTAAATAATAAGTAAAGTCATACTGTGATATGATATTTTGGGAATTTCTCCCTTCAAGATGAGTATTCTGATAACTAGTCATCCTAGAGCTCCTTGGAAATGTTTTAATAACATCATTAAATGTGTAAGGCTTTTCACAGCTTGAAATGCTATGATATATTTTCAGTATCATTTGAGAAAAAACTCCCCACGTATATCTCAATAGAATAGTTTGTGACAAAATATAATTACTAGTTAAGGGAACTTTAGTGAATGTTTAATAGGATATGTGTCATTCAGTTTTTAGATTTTTCAAAAATTCTTTGTAGAAAAAAACATTTTTTAAAACATATTTTTTTTTTTACTGAAGAAACTTTCTGAAAACATAATTGATCTAATGTGAAGTCTTGCAAGAAAAGGTAGAGATTTTTACAGGTAAACAAGGGTGGTTGGTGAATACAAATCATATCAATCATAACATATTCTATTCTCTTTTCTCTCTTCCCAATAATTTGAGAACATCCTTAAATGCAAGTTTTTTAAGTCACTACTTACATCTATTCCTGACATTAAATTGTGGATCGGATCCTGTCTATTCTCCTGTGTAAACAGATCTTGTGTTTGATTAAAATAGAAAACTGGAAGATAGAAATATATAATTATTAGTTCACTTATGTGAAACATTTTCAGATATATAAATGACATAAATTCAAAAATATGTAGACCTGTATGAAAGGTGGCATATTACAAAAAATAAACTTCAAATCATTTGTTCTAATGAAACAATCTTTTTAAGGCAAATGGGTAGATGATCTTTTATAACATAAAATTAATAAATTATAAAAATGAAAGAAATGAAGTTAACTTACCTTAGATATTCCAATCATAATTTTCAGAATAATAAACAAGAATATGATGAGTGAAATGACCCCATATAATCAGATGTCTGAATACGTGGCCTGAAGTTGGTGGATATTTATGGGTAGAGTAAAAAAGGTATCAATTTACTGGAACACATGTATCTGGATAATGGCTTTGAGAATTTTAATGCCTTCTATTGCCAACAGTGAGCTGTCTGCTTCCTGTTTTGGTTCTAGATGGAAACTCTCACGGCAGCTCTAGCCCCTTGTCAACTACTACCTCTGATTTATCATAGTGGATCTTTCTGCTATATATTGTCTTTATCTTGGAGTTTTATCACAGCAATTGAAAAAGTCTATAACCCAAATACAAAAAAAATCACACTCCTGATACGGTATTATCTTAATGAACATAACTCATCTTCACAATCTCTTAAATTGAACAAATTGAACAATATAAATAAGGAAGGCATACTATTAATTAGTAAAGAAAGAAGGAAAGGAAGAACAGGAAATAGTTATTACTAACTGGCCCACAGAGAATCATGTATGCTACAAGGAAAGCATCCATAAATTTTCAGACATCATGTAAATTCACTAGGACTGATCTTATTAAAGAGATACATTTTCTCTTTTTCTTATACAGAAAATAGATGTTTTCATAAAATATATTCTTACTATGGCTTTTCTTTCTCAAAAGCCATGAGATCCTCCCCATCTTCATTGATGTCAGAATTCACCCACTTTCTGTCACTTAGAAAACAACTTGGCATCTAAAGAATCAGAAAGTAGTTTGGGGTAATTCTAACTAGAATTGAATGCTAATGTTCTGTGAAATGTATTTTTCTAGATTCTTGTACAAAATAGATGAGTGGACTTATTTTAGTATCTGTAATTTGTTTTAGTGATCAGCCATACCATCATTGTACAAAACCTGATTATTATATAAATGTAAAATATTTTAAAATTATGAATGGTGATATACTGTATATATAGAATTATTTTTCATTATTGTTTAAGCTATTGTGAGGTTTTTGTTTGTTTGCCTCCATTAGATGCTGAAGACTCTCTTTTCGAGACCTTCAAGAATTGTTAAAATTTTGATGGGATTTTCTCTGAATCAGTACATTACTTTGATAAGACATTCATTTTTGCTACATCAATTGACCAATCCATGAATACGTGATTTTTTTCCATCTTCTGATATCTTTTCAGTTTATTTCTTCAATGCCTTAGAGTTCTGACAAGGGTCTTTCACTTTTTTAGTTTGATTATCCCAAACTATTTTCTGGGGTTATTGTACAAGATGTGGTATCCTTTCCCTGATTTCTATTTAAGTCCTTTCTCATTTGTACATATGAGGGCTACAGCTTTTGTTAGTCAATTTTACATCTCTTATTTTTGATGAAAGTGTATCTCATTTGGAGAAGTTTCTTGGAGTTTTTTAAACATAAAATCATAGCATTTGCCTGTAACATTCCTTTCATGTCTGTTTTTGTTATTCATCACTTCTTCATCTTCTTCATTTGTATTATTATTCTAGCTAAGATTTCAAGGACTGTATGGAATACATATGGAGAAAGTGAATATCCTTTTAATGTTTCCTATTTTAGTGGAATGGCTTTGAATTTTCTCCAGTTAGTTTGATGTGGGCTATAAGCTTGCTACAAATAGCCTATTTCATTTGGAAGTAGGTATCTTGCATCCCTAAGCTCTCCAGGACTTTGTCAAGCAAGGGTCATTAATTTTTTCAAAGGATTTTCTGCATCTAATGAGATGAACATATGGAATTTGACTCTCAGTTTGTATAAGTGGTAGAATAATTTGATGGTTTGAATTGTTGATCTGTCCCTACATGTCTTGAGAAGAAGTGTCTGGTAGATAGTTCCTTTGATATGTTATTGGATTCAGGTTGCCAATATTTTATTGAGGTTTTTGCAGATATGTTCATAATGAAATAGGCATATCTTTTACTTACTTTTTGTGTGTATACATGGTTTAAATGTCAAGGGAACTGTCCCACAAAGAGAATTTCACAGAGTTCTGGTCTTTATTTATTTATTTATTTATTTATCTTTTGAAGAATAGTTTGAGGAGTATTCATGCTAATTCAAGATAATTATTAAAGATAGGAGGTACCACTTACTACCATTATTCTGCTGCTTGGATATAGTATTAAAATTATTCCTATATCTTATTGGTTTACCCACAGACTGGTACATCTCTATGCCTTCATTCCTAATGAAATTTGACAGCTATAAGTTGACTCATATGTGGACATAGTGAAAACAAAAAAAATCGGTTTTAATTAGCATGTTTATATCAAACCCATTTCATGGAATGTTCAGAGCTCATTCAGGAGAGAGTGATAATACAAGTTAAGTGTAGGAAGTCATGAATGACTATAAGAAAATAGTTCTCTTGTATGCAAAGTAACAGGTGACTTATAAACTCAAGTAATCAAGACAGTATACATTGGACCTAAGAAAGCTCATGCAAGATTAATATCCTCGAGAAAACGTGCACATTGAGACCCACACCTTCCTGTGCTGATTCTATCACCTGAAACATAATTGGAGAAAGGGCATAAGAATTAAAATGTGCAACTTCTGATAGTTTAACCATATTACAGGCCATGCTCAACAACCAGGATATTATGAGAATTACAGATTGAATTCTGTGGGTGTAAAGAAAAAGGGAAAAAAATTAAAAAGTTTACAGGAAGTGGAACATCAGAGAACTGGAGAGTTTAATTTGGTGAATTGATACTTTAATTTATTCTTAGATAATTAATAAAATTATTAAAAATAAAATATTATGCATATACAAATTTGATTTTCCAAACAAACTCAAATATAGATAAAATACACAAAGGAAAACAAGAGAATATACAACCTTTATGTGGAAAGTAACATATAGATTTTGATATTCAGAGATTTTCAGATGACTGTAAAATGGACCAATAGCATGTATGACTCAAACAATTCTTAATTTCTAATGAATATTCTGCAGAAATAAAAGAGTTACCTTTTAATTTCTGTAGAGTCTAATGCAATGAATGAACTCTACAATCTTCCAAAATGAGTACAACTATAAAATTCATATTTTCTGATTATATGTGATAATACACAACAGTGAAAACTATGTAGTACTCTCGTAAGAGCAGACAAACAGACATGAACATTTATAGAGAAATACTCTTTCAAAAACTACAAAAGTTTTTAATGCTAATTTTATTTTCAATATTGTTCATTTCTGGGTTAGGTGGCATTCAAAGACATGGCAACAAATATTATAAATTATGCTTTATACCATAATTAAAGTTAAGTTTTCAAAGTAAATTTTTAGGTCATTTCATGTGAATGAGACTCATAAAGTAATTTGTGATAACTATACAATATGAATTTTTATACTATTTCAGGGAAAGCTCTTTGCAAACTCCACTTCAGGGAAGCATTCCCCCATGTCCTAGGTTTCCCTACATGTGCCAAGGCTTCATTGTGTCTTACCTCTTCCATTGCCTTCTGTCTCTCCCATGTTCACAATCCAGGGCTCTTTGCTTTGTTCAAGACAGATGATCAGGTCTGGTTTTGGCATTGAAAAACCTGCATATTAAAAGAGATATATAGCCATAAATTGTGTTAATAGGAAAACACATGGATTTCTAAGAAAACACTATAAAAATGTCATATAATATAAAATTAAAAATATAATATCCGAATTTCTGTCTTCCAAAATTTAAAACATTCAAAATCAATTTTGATAATATTGTTTACCTTGATTTCCTTTGTAAATTACTATTGAAAGCAAATATGTTGTGAATCATCATGTTGCAAATCAATATATAATCTAGTCTGAAAAGTAAAATGTATCATACATGTTTGAATGATGAATGTCATTCTCAGGATTCAGGACTATATTGACAAGACAAATTACACAAAATAT